GAACAAGAACAAGAACAAGAACAAGAACAAGAACAAGAACAAGAACAAGAACAAGAACAAGAACAAGAACAAGAACAAGAACAAGAACAAGAACAGGATATCTTTTTGTTTAAAGATAAAGTGATGCCCAGCCTTGAAAGATAACACAAGATCCTTTCCCTCTCCTCCCGGGCCTCTCCTCTTTACCACACACCAATAGCCCAGCCTCCTGACCCACCTGACAGCCAATATCTACAAACCTGTGTTCACTTTCTGTTTGGCTTTTCAGTTGTCTCAGAAAAGAAAGTAAATCCACTCCTGCTACTCTAGACTTTGAGTGGAGATCTTTTATTCTTATGTCCTCACTTCCTTTTTCTCTATTTTCTCATTTTAAATTTTAAGCAAATGTGTGTGTGTGTGTGTGTGTGTGTGTGTGTGTGTGTGTGTGTGTGTAACACATTTAACAATTTTTACTTTATGTGTATAGGTCTTTTGTCTGCATGTATGTCCATGCACCACATATGTGCCGGGTGCCAATGGAGACCATCAGATCCACTGGAACTGGAATTACCAATAGCTGTGAGCAACCATGTGGGTGCTAGGGATCAAACTCAGGTCCTCTGGAAGAGCAGCAAGTGCTCTTAACCTCTGAGCCAGCTGTCTAGCAAACATGTATTTTTATATTTGCATCATGGGCTGTTTGGACATACCTTGATATTTGAGATGGAAGGTTTTTATCATCATCATCATCATCATTATTATACTTGTCTCATCTTTTCTCTCTCTTTTTTAAAATTTATTTCTTTACCACTGCTTAACAATATACTGCTTCACAGTAGCACAGAGAGGAGCACCCTCTTCACCTAAGGGCTACACAGTGCTGTGTTGTAGAAAGTTGATGTCATTCATTCTTCTGCCTCCTATAGAGGGATGCCCAGGTTATGTCCAGTTCTGTTTTCTTTCTTTATTTTACCTTACGAATAAAACTGATTTAATAATCTCATAAAAACATCTTCATATTTTTATGGATTGCATATGGGGATACTTTATAGAGAAATAGCTATGATCAAGAATAATGTTGCTATTTATTGGCAAATCGTCACAAGAAATTCATGAACCATTTATTTCCATATTGCCAAATTTTGAGCTTTTGACAACCTAATGGATAAAAAGTATCATCTCTAATTATTTTATTTCTTTTATTATGCAAGAGAGGGCACATGACTTATTCCCTCACCTCCAAATATTTTCGAGGCCTTGATGGTTTCACACTTTACTTCTCACTGTCCTGCATCTTTGTATGAAACATCTTTTTCCCTTTAGGCAGCTGATCTTTTTCTTGATCTATTTTATTTTTTCCTTTCAATAATCAATTCTATTTAATTGGAAGTAATTCTTCCATGTCAAATATCAACAAGGTTTTTATCATCATCATCATCATCATTATTATACTTGTCTCATCTTTTCTCTCTCTTTTTAAAAAACTTTTCATACAAAATATTTTGATAATGTTTTCCCCTCCCCTTGCTCCGCCCAGGTTCCCCTCCCCTCCCATCTCAGCAAACCTTTGTGTTCTCCCTCTCTTGAAAACAAAATAAATATGAGAATTAAAACAAACAACAAGACCAAAAATAACAAAACAAGGTAAAACAAAAACCTCGCAAAAAAATGTAGTGCTTGTCTAATAATACCAGAAATATAATTATAAATGTGCTCATTTCAACCGTTAGGTGAATGACTAGCTTACCTTTACCAAATACCAAATCCGTTCATGTGTTCTGTGCTTTTTTAAGACATTTCAAACTGTCCTGGAAAATGGGAGCTGAGCACGATTATACACCACTTATCACAAATGTCCAGTGTCTGAAGTTATGCTGTTCTTTAATTAATTCTTTTAATATTCTGATTGATTAAATTTGTTCTTTGACAATTTCATACATGGGTAAAATACATTCTGATTCTTCTCACCCCCGCCCTCTCTTATCTCCTTCCCACCCATCAGTCCCCCTCCCTACAATTGCTGCTCCCTCATCTATGTCTTTTTGTTTTGTGGCACAGTGAGTTAAACCGCGCCCAGATGTGCGAGACTAAGTGTGGTGCTCACTGGGGCCTGCACTACACCTTGCCCAGAATCTATCAGTAGCCAATAGTTTAACAGGAATGACTAGAGCCCCGCCCTAATCTGTGACTGATTGCTGACAAGGCCAGTCTTGTGCAGGATTGGAGCGGGTCAGAACAGGTCCTGGCTGTGACTTGCTTAGAGGATGGCAGTCCATAGCCTTCCTCCCTATCTTCCGGATCTTACATTCTTCTAATCCGCTCTTTGGCGATGTTCCCTGAGCCTTAGAGGATGTAGTGTTTTATTTAGAACTGAGCATTCAGCTGTCTCTTATTTTTGGCACTTTGAACAGCTGTGCATCTCTGCATTTGTTGCTATTGGCTGCAAAGAGAGGTTTCTCTACTTAGACCGGCATTTGTCTACAGGTATAAACCTACACACCTAGAAAACAGTCTGCCTTAATTTCAATCTAGCTGAACAACAGCAGTAAGTTTCCTTCTAGGGACTATGACTTTTATAGACAGTTTTTCACCTTGGACTATAATATCAGGCATGGATTCCTTCTGATTTATCTTGGAAGCTCTTTATGTTCTGCCCCACCTCCCCTCTGTCTCTGCCATTTCTGGTTTTATTTGTTTGTGATGACTTAGTATGCAGTATTTTTAAAACTTTTGTTGAGTTTGTTCTTTGGCAATTTTATCAATGTATAACGTATCCTGATTACTGGTGTGCATTTTTTCATGCCAAAATTATCAGGAAGGATTTGAATGCAAAAAGTGTGTTTGTTCACATGTAAGAGACAGAAGCATATGAAACTTCTCGCATGATGAAGCTCCATTGTAGCTCTGTCTTTGTAACTAACTCTAACTTTCATTGAAATGTCTATCAAGACAATGCTTTTCCTCCTTTCTACATTTATTCTTACAACCCTAGACAGGCATTCCCATTTCACTCCTTCAATACAACCACCATCTAAGTGTTCTTCCTGCTTCCTAGCATTCTCACACCTCCAAATATTTGCAAGCCCTGGATGTTGCTCACACTTTTATTCCTATTAGATGATGACATGGCATTCAGTATAAATTCAAGAAAATCCTTAAATTCTCTTAATCCTACTCATCAAGTGTTGTCTTCCTCTGCAATCCTCACACATGATTGATAGGTTATTGAGCCTATCAAAAGCCCAAACACAGGCCCATCCAAGCCTGTGTTCATCATTTGAATGTTTCTTCTACACCCAAATATATTATCTCTGTCACTGATAAGTGCCTTTGTTTTTAATAAATCACATATTTGCTCAACTAAACTATCACTTAGAACTGGGCATCATACTAATAAATGCAAGTGAGAAATTTTCTTTTTTATTTTTATTTTATTTTATAATTTAATTTAATTTTATATATCAGCCATGGATTCCCTTGTTCTCCCCCCTCCCACCCCCCACCCTCACCCCACCTTCCCCCCAGCTCATCCCCCATTCTCATCTCCTCCAGGGCAAAGATTCCCCTGGGGACTGAGTTCAACCTGGTAGATTCAGTCCAGGCAGGTCCAGTGAGAGATTTTCTTGAGACTACGACTACCATTTAGGTGATATCTTGGAAAGGGAGATAAAACAAAACAGTTGTGATATGATGTGATACCCTAGAACCGAGGCAAGAGTCAAAGAAAGGTTCCGTTGAGTATAACAGATGTTGAAAAAGAGATCACAAGTGAGCTGTGCTGGGCATTGAAGGATGAGTAAGGATTTGATAACTTGGCAAAGGAGAAAACATCATTCTAGGCAAGTAGAATATTCTAGGCATACGAAATGACACCAGATTATCATTTTTCATGTTCTATGAGAGAGTGGTTGTGTCCCTTCAGTCCATTTGGGACCTCAGTCACCTAGTGTGTAAGGAATTAACAAGAACTGCACCCACCTCAGAATCCTTGAGAAATGTAAATAAGATAACAATTACAGAGAACTCCAAAAATTCCTGGCACAAAGTAGGTATTCAGCAAATTTTAACTAGCAGGGTTATTACACTGTCCATTAGGAATGCACAGATTTAAATACCTCATTGTTATTTTATTAGCTAGTCCAACACCCTGGGAATAGCTGGCAAGCTCTACCATGTATATCTCCTGTTCCCTTAATTGTTTGTATGATGCAGATGAAAGTTTATGCCTTTATTTCTATCTTATTTCAAGCAAAACTTGTCCAAAAGAGGAAAAAAATAACTCAGAATATGGAAAAGACATACCTTTTAAAATTATTTTTTATTTATTTGTTGGGAATTTCATGCCTGTAGAGAATGTATTAAGATGATTGCATTGCATGTACTCATTGGGTTTGTTGACTTACCAAAAGGTTGATCAAAATGTGCCCTTAAGACACCCCACTCTGAAAAATATGACACTAGTAATTCAGCAATGTTTAGGGACCCATCAGGCTAACATGCTTTTGCTATTCAAAAATAATTGTCATTTCCAAGTCCTTTTACCTTGGAGAGACTAAATAAGACGAGATTGATAGGACCTTCCCTCAGCTTGCTCACATTCTACTGACAAAGTGAGAAATACAATACTCTTTGCCGATTGCAAGTTACCTCCTTCACACCCCCAAAATACCACCTATTCCATCCTGTTTTCCCACCAGTATCCCATAAGACCTGCTTCTAACCTACTGCTGCCAGAGATATAATCACCATAATGTCTGTTCTAAACAGGATAAGACCAGACATAAAGAATTAACTCTAAACACAAGGAGACAAAGTCAAAGACTTTGTCTGCTTTAGGGGATGTATCAAAGAAAGCTTTGTAGGAATTAGGAAGAAAAGGAAAGCTGATTCTCTTTGCTTTGCCAAATTAAATAGTGCAGAATAGAGCAGGAAAAGGAAGCAGCGCCTTTTCTATATATAGATAAACACAGTAATTGACTAAAACTGATCTTCTGTAGTATAAACAAGAGTCACGTGGTTAGTAGCCCTCAGCGGGATATAAAAGCAAGAGACAGCACAGACAGAGACCAGACTAGGAACTCTCACCACCTTGTAAACCCACCCAGAACCTCCACCTCTGACACCATGGTCAACTCCTGCTGTGGCTCTGTCTGCTCTGAGGAGGGCTGTGGCCAAGGCTGCTGCCAGCCCAGCTGCTGCCAGACCACCTGCTGCAGGACCACCTGCTGCCGCCCCAGCTGCTGTGTGTCCAGCTGCTGCAGGCCCAGCTGCTGTGTGTCCAGCTGCTGCAGACCCAGCTGCTGTCAGTCTCTGTGCTGCCAGCCCACCTGCTGCCGCCCCACCTGCTGCATCTCCAGCTGCTGCCGCCCCTGCTGCCGCCCCTGCTGCCAGCCCTGCTGCCAGCCCTGCTGCCGCCCCTGCTGCCGCCCCTGCTGCTGCCTGCGCCCAGTCTGTGGTCAGGTCTGCTGCCACAGCACTTGCTACCGCCCGACCTGTGTGATCTCCACCTGCCCCCGCCCCATGTGCTGCGCCACCCCTTGCTGCTGAATCTTCTCTTCGAATGCACCTTTAATCCCCTCATTCTCTACAGATGAAGCCCTTCCTTCTAGAAAATATGTAGTGTTCAAGGGACTTGATTTCCCGAGTCCCAGAACTCAGTCTCATTTGCAGTTGTTCTGTGCGCATATTCTGACTTCTGTCCCAAGTTCTTCCTCTTAGTTTATCAAAATCTCCCAATAACTTAACAGGCCTCCCCCAACATGTCTCACCTTGTCTTTTTATCTATTCATCATGCTGGAGGAATTTAAATTATCCCTGGCACTTGTAGGAGCACAAATTTTAACCCTTCTGCCATTAAAATCCAATAAAGTGTCTTTTATAGTCTTTGCAAAAATTTTCATACTTTATTATCTCTGTGTAACAAAAATAAACATCCATCACACAGATACTTAAAATTGAGTGTGACTGTTGCTTTCTCTATTTAAAAAAAAAATGTGTAAATAAAAAAGGAGGCAAGGGAAATGGTTCAGCAGATAGAGGCACTTAATAACAAACCTGATTATCAGAGTTCCAAGTCTGGTATTCACACTGTGGGAGAACTGACTACCACACGTTCAATGACTATGTGTATGCTGTGGCAACTGCAAACACACACACACACACACACACACACACACACACACACACACACACACACACGGGGGGGGGGTGGAAAATATTTTAAAATTACCAAAAAATAGAAACCTTTACATATGCTTCCTGGGCAAATGTATATTTGTCTTCATTTAGTTAGTTAATTTTTGAGAGTATATTTTAGTTAATAACATTTTCCCCTCCAAATCCTTCCATATACCCCTCCCTACTCTCCTTCAAACCCATGGCCTCTTCTTTCTTCAATTGTTACTCTATGTACATATTCCCAGATCTAACCTGGTAAGCCCACTACAGAAGGCCATAACCAATCAATGTGCAGAGTTGTGGAGCCCAGTCCCAAGAGATACAGCTATAGACACTCCTACACCTAAGGCTCAGGGAACATTGTGGAAGAAAGGATGGGAAGATTGTAAGAGCCAGAGGGTCAGAAAATTTGCTGTGAGATTGTATCTCCTGGAAACATCAGAAACTGCACCCATAAATCTCACCAACATGACTGCCTAAGTGTGAATTGTATTTTCACTGCACTTGAAAGCGAACAACCCATGGTACTCAAACTTCCAACAGAAAAGAAATGGCATTAGTAACTGCCTTGTTTCTCTAGAAAGTCTTCTTTGTTTCAGGTAAATTAGTCAATTTGTAATTGTTGGGCGAGGGGTAGGGGGGGGAAGGAATTAAAATGATAGAGTAGCCATGAGTATATGTTATCAGGGAAGACTGAACACAGTTCACACCACCTTTTATTCTCTTTGGGGGAATAAGGACAGTCAGTAGGTTGTGTGGTAAATTCTTTATATGTTCTACTCCAGGGTCAGGTGTGGTGAATCTTTTCTCCACATGTATGCTTCATAAGGGCAGACTGTCAATGGGGCATTCATCCCCCTGTATAGGGGACCACCTCTGAGGCAAAGAGATGATGCAAATGAGGACTGGAGGAAGCTTGTTGCTTTATTGGAAGTGGTGGCTTTCCCCCAAGCTGCCCTCTCTCCTTTCCCAGGGTGGCATATAAAGAACCACATTTCCTCTCCTCCATTTAGAGATTGTAAACAGGTCATTCCATTTTCTGAACTCCCCAAAAGACTAACTAAGCCTGTTCATGAAGTAGCCCTCCAGTTTGGTTTTTCCCAGTATCCAATTCTACTCGACCCTTCCCATCCATGACAGTTGATCCCCACAGCGTGTCTCCATGAACTCCCAGCATGCTGCTCTCTGTCTCAGCACATGCTTTCTGGAGATTTCCACCTGCTCCCAAAACCCATTCATGATAGATGACCTGAGAGCTGGAACCATTCATCAAAATGCGTGTTCAATCTTTCAGTACCTGATAGAAATAAGAATATAAGCATATGGCAGAAGTATATTGTACATAATCCATGAAGAAAATTATAAAGTTTATATAGGAACCCCACCTCTCTCTCACACACACACAATCTTTAAATTTTAAAACAACACAAAAGTCTGTGACCATAAGTAAACTCCCCTTTATGAGTCATTGTTAATCTCATTCAAGAGCTATTGGTGTGCATTATAGCCTTATTAAGCACATTCATACATGTAGTGAATAAACATCATTCACTCACCCACCTAGCTTTTGTTGTACATTACTTAGGCTGTCATTTATTTAAAAATTATTTGATTTACTTCAGGAAATGTTGGTACTTACTCCCATCCAGGCTGAGTGTATGGCTAGGCATGTTTATTTGCATTTTTTAGCATTTATTGTTGAGAATGGTGAATATATTTTAGGTAGGATTGTTGTTTACGTGTAAGATATCAATCAGTTTTCATAAATTTATATTATCCTGACTTCGTGGTTAACACTAATACCCAGCTGGTTCTGAGATATTCTGAGGAGACTGTCATGGCAACCCAATGCATCTGGGCTTAGACACTTCCCATGGCCTGTGCCCTGTAGCCCACAGTATAACCCCATCATTAACACAAATGTTTTGTTTTGCTTTGTTTTCTTCTGTCCATTTTCTCCATTTCCTCTCTCATACCTTCTGGGATGGAGCCTTTGTCTAGGGTTCTGTAGGGTGTAAAACTCAAGCAAAGTCAAGGGATGTTCAGAAATATTTTTGGCTGATAGATAGTTTTTCTAGCATTAAGAATAAAACTGGGGAGTCTGGGGGCAAAAGTGAATAGGTGTTACTGTCTTCTTCCTACCCCATTCCCCAAGGCTATAACCATGGGAGTTAAGCACATATTAGTGGACATCTGAAAACAAGTCTCCCTCTGCAAATCAAGTTTTCTGCAGCTTTCTATACCTAGCTTTTACCCGGCGACACACCACTGTAAATGCTGCCTCATAAGCAAAATGAACATTTGACCAAATAATGGATTCGATGGATAAATGTAGTTTTTCTCAAAGAGGACTGTGATCCACTTTGGGACTGTTTCCTGTCTTTTCTCTAATATATACAATGGCCTGCTCCTATACTTCCATCTATGCCACAACCTCTACCAGGAAGTAGAATGTGCTAAGTTAGAAGCACAATGCATGCAGGGGACCGTTTATGAGGACAGACACCATGCAGGAGGAAACGTCTCCAGTGAGTCTTGACGGATGAGGAAGGGTTTGCAGAGACGATGAGACGCGTCCCAAGATGACACAAGCCCAGCCAAGGCTTGCACGCTTGAATCTTCACACGTCCTCTGCTGCTCAGAGGCACGTTCAGCTCCCTTTGTGTTTCCACTTGGACACGCATTTTTGTGTTAGCCTCTCTGTGCTTCGTGAAGCTCCTCCATCAAGAGAAGAGTGCACAGCCCTTCACAGAACTGCATTAAAAACAAAAGAAATACAGCATAACTCACATAGTACCTGGCACACAGTCACATTTTACCAGCTCTACCCCACCGAGGGCACGTGGAACACATTGTCGCACTGCATATTTTGAGTTTAGTGGTTTCATTAAAGTCATGGAATTTCTTTATTTTATGCCAAACCGTTCCCTCAGCCTGTGTCTTATCCAACCACTTACAGAAAGGCACAAAGGTCTACCTGCTCTATGCCTAGAATATTCAACAGAAACTCTGCATATATATTGCCAAAGTTAGAAACTCAAAATATTTTTATGTGTTTTTTGTATGTAAATTTTTGTATGTAAATATTTTATGTATGTAAATATTACAAAATATTTTATGTACAAAAAAAAAAAGATCAGACTAGCAAAGTGACTCAGCAGGTAAAGGTATGTGCTGCCATGCCTGATGACCTGAGTTCCATCCCTGGGACCCACATGGTAAGTGTACTCATACACATACACACACTAGATACTAAATAAATTCAATGAACTGCTAATGACGTATAGTGCCTACACTGTAAATTGTTTGAATGCCTCTGTGAGTGAAAAACATCTACTGTGCAATTACATACTTAAAAGAGGAATAAACTTCCCCACTCTTCATCATTCTCCAGGAAGGCATACAAAAACAAAATAGACCCCAAACGCCAAAAAAAACTGAGTTTCTATTCTTGGTAAGTGGTGGAACCGCTGCCAAGCCCTTCATCCTAAGAGACTGGAATGAGATCTGACAGTTTAGAACTTCCTCAGGTCTGACCATCTCCCCAGTCTCCAATGGATACACAATATCACCATCGTTCCCACGAGAGATGGGGCAACCTCGACTAAACGGTCTTCCCTTCTAATTCTTTCCCTGAGTCTCATCTGGATAGAACATTCCTTGACAACACAATAAATGCTGGAATTTGTGGGAAAACATTTCCATGATTTGCAAGGAACAGTGTACAGACAAGAGGGAATGTCACATTTAGAAAACAAAATGCCAAAGAGTCCTGTGGCAAGTTACTTGCAGAAAGGACAAAGGTGACCAACTATGAAAAAAATGCGATGAGCATTTCAGTTGCAAACACGGGGGCTACCAGAGGGGGGGAAATGTCTTATTTTCTTTCTTTTTGGGGTATTTAACTAGAAACATTACAATTATGCAATTAAATGATTAAGTTTCCCAAGAAGGTAAATACTAACAAGGAAATAGTGACGTCACATGAGGTGTTCAGCGGGGTATAAAAAGGGGTGCGGGGCAAGGAAACTTCCAAACCCAATATCTTCACTCACTTGTAAACCCACCCAGAACCTCCACCTCTGACACCATGGTCAACTCCTGCTGTGGCTCTGTCTGCTCTGAGGAGGGCTGTGGCCAAGGCTGCTGCCAGCCCACCTGCTGCCGCCCCAGCTGTTGCATCTCCAGCTGCTGCCGCCCCTGCTGCCGCCCCTGCTGCCGCCCCTGCTGCCGCCCCTGCTGCCGCCCCTGCTGCTGCCTGCGCCCAGTCTGTGGTCAGGTCTGCTGCCAGACCACTTGCTACCGCCCGACCTGTGTGATCTCCACCTGCCCCCGCCCCATGTGCTGCGCCACCCCTTGCTGCTGCTAAC